ATGAACCGCCAACATATCCGGCATATGTTTTACACAGAGGATGCCCGTCCAGCTGCAACCCAGTACTGGGAAACATCCATACACACTCACTCACTCTCGGTCAATTTAGTTTATTCAATTCACCTATAGTACATGTCTTTGGACTTGTGGGGAAAACCGGGAGCCCCCGGAGGAAACCCACACCAACACAGAGAGAACATGCAAACTCCACACAGAAATGCCAACTGACACAGCCGGGACTCAAACCAGCAACCTTCTTGCAGTGAGGCAACAGTGCTAACCACTGAGCCACCATGTCACCCTACTTACTTCTCAAACCATTTAGATACTTTAAGCTAATCTAAAAAATGTAACATAAAATACCTTTGCAATGACTTATTTTTAAGCATATGTCACATTTAAGATTGATATCAAATGGATGAAATGACAAGTTCATTTACAAACAATATCAACAGCAAACTTTCCTAAAAAAACACAATATAATGAATTAACTACTATCATTAATCAAATAAGCTTAGAAAATAACTGGATTGCAAATTTCTAAATATTTATAAATGTTGGAAAATATATTAGTTTTTACATAATTGTAATTATCTGATTAAATTATAACATTTAAAAATATATATACAATTAACTAAATGTATACATGTTGGTAGAACACTCAACTAAAACAAAACAAAATAATGTAGCAATGTAGCCATTTAAATGTCTGGTTTCAAATAAACTTTAGTTTATTAATTAATTATATGTAAATTTTTAATATTACATATAAACATGTAAATACTCAGCATACAAGTACACCCCTCACAAATCTATCTTTTAAATTCATATTTTTAATAGGAGGATATACAATATTATATTTGTTCATAAACATTATTCAGTCTTGAAGCCAAATCTGGAGCTTATTTAACAAAATAACTTGCGATAACGGTAAAAAAAAAAACCCAGTAGACCAAAATTATGTCATAGACAAATATTAAATACAAATAAAAAAAAAAAGAGGAAAAATCAAGCAAAAAAAAAAAAGAAAAAATTTGATGAAATTTTGTAGTTTGCATTTTTTTTTGCAATATTTTGCTTAAATTTAATTGTATTTTCTTTCAATTTCTAAGTATGTTTGGTGACTAAAATATTATTTTAATAAATGTATCTGTTTGATAAATCTGTTTTGTTTAAATGCACCAAAATACATTACCTATATTCACTGAGAAATTAATAAAAATATTAATTTAGATTATGTAGCACATTAAAACGCTTTACAGTTACATTATTAATTAAATATTTTAAATCTAGAATAACTCAAAACTAGATTTATCAAATGCTAAATTACAAATAACATTTGTCTGTGTGCACTTTTTTAAACCAGTCTCTTTCTCCAGGGGTTTTAGAGCTTTAACATGTTCGCTTATTCCCACAACAGGCCAGATTCTCCTCTGAAGCTCAGCACGGCCATCCAGAATCCTGTGCGACCTCTGAACTCCACCTGCTCAAAGCCCCAGCGCTGCACCTCTGCTATCACCTCCCGAATCTCCTCTCCTCTACAGTTCCTCATGTGGCCACTGACTCTCCTCGCTCTAGCCTGAGGCTGGGAAATCCTATTAGCCTTTACCATGAGAGAGAGCAGGAGACACATCATTAATTACACACACAAACCCACTCCTGACAGCGCCAAGCTTAATCAGCCACGACCATAAAACACACACACACACGCGCATGTATATACACACACCACAAATACACACACCCAGCACAGACACAAATGTGCACATAGACACAAACACACATGCACACACACTTCAGGCAAAAACACCAACACAAACACACACCATAGACACAAAGGCATGCAAACCAGACAAACACACACACCACATACAAAAAAACACACCACACCACAAAACTGCACACGCACTAAAGAAATAAACATGAACGCATACACACACACAAACCCATCAATAACACAAATGCGTACAAACTTCACAAACAGACACAAATGACAGCGCACACACATATATACACAGGTAGATACATAATGACACAATCTCACACATACAGTCACCACAGACAAAAACACACACCACAAACACATGCACACCAGACAGACACACCTCAGACATAATTTCATATACACACACACCACATACACACACATCAATAACACACACAAATGCATACACATACCACAAACACACACTTCAGACACAAACAACATCACACACTCACATATATACACATGTAGGTGAAACAAACTCACACATATACACACACACAAATGCAAACACATACTACAAACACACATATCACAGACACAAACAACAGCACAAACACATAGACAAACACAGACAGGCAGACACAAACTCACATATACACACACCACAGACCATAAAATCAAACACACACCACAAACACAAACTCGCACACACACCACAGGCACAAATCCATGAACAAATCATACACATTCAAAACACATGCAGAAAACACACACACAGCACAGACACAAACACGCACACAATCACCAGAGACACAAACACATGCATATAAACAAAGATAGGCTCAAACACACACTTATACACACAAGCGCAAACTTACGCATACAGACTGCCAGGCACACACTCTCCATGAACACACATATACTGAATACAAAGGCAGGCTCACACAAACACACTACCTGACAAAAGTCTTGCCGTCTATCCAATTTTAGGAACAACAAATACAGTTTTTCTTGATTGCTTTGATGCAGCCGTCAACTGAAACTCCACATTTTCAAAACGGTTAATACACAGGCCTAAACAGAGGCACTCATGGTCAAAATGACACATTTTGCTTGCAAAAATGCACATATTGAGTCAAAACATTTAAAATATTCAACAAAAGCTAGTGTTACCTTCACACAACACAACTTGCAAACAAGTATATGAGCTCTTTCAATTAATCATAACACAATGGACAACAAAATACAGAACTCAGTGTGAGTCAGTGCATCATTGCTTGCCATTGTAGCCTATTGCCAATGCCATTTGTTGTCTTTCTATTTAGGTTGTCAAATCTGCCTTTTTGCTAAGAATTGGATCCAGAATAAGAAATGCTTTGATTAAATTTATATTGAATTGACGACATTTTTCGAATTGTGAGTGAAAACTGAAATACTGTAAAAAAAAAAAAAAAAAAAAAAAACACAAAATTAATAAATTCTGTAAATATTAGAGAAAACACATGTAAATCAAAATAGTCAAATCTATTGGGAGTATAGGACATAGCCATTATTGACCTCCTCCATCCATGCTGTCACAGACCTTCCACCGTTTTTAATGTTTGCAGTCTGATTGCTAATTGAAGATTTGTGTGAAGGAGTGTCCAACCGGTGCTTCAGTGAATTCATACTGATCTTGGTAGTTTCTAATTGTTGGGAATTGATGGTATCTGTTTGGTTACCATAGCTAAAACAATGGAGCTTGGACTGCTTAAATGACAACTGTGTTAACTGTTTTGAAAAATGGTCGGGAAAATGTGTCAACTCAATGAGAAAGGGTTTACACATTTGCAAGACCTGTCTTCTGCTCTGCTGGGATAGTGATAATGAAAATGAAGTGGAACAGAGTTTATTTGACCAGGTCAAAGCAAACAAGAAAAACTGTAATAACCTAACTTCTAGTTGATCATTTAGTATCAAAAGTGGCTTATATGATAGGCAAAAGCGTCTAGATTACGCTTATTTTACCAAAATAAAATATGATCATGCCTTGATTTTTAGTTAGGACAGTAAGGTCTGACTTTGCTTAAGGACGATATCTATACTTTTACGGTATATAGTATATAAAGTCATGGTGCAGTGGAAAAATAATTAATATTGTGTATATAACTTCCATGTGCTTGGATCCATACATCTCTGAAAAGACTCAAATAACTTAATTAATTCATCTGGAATGGCAAAGAAAGCGTTCTTGCAGGACTTCCAGAGTTCATCAAGATTATTTGGATTCATCTTCAATGCCACCTCCATCTTTATCCAGACATGCTCAATAATGCTCATATCAGATGACTGGGCTGGCCAATACTGTTGCACCTTGGCCTTCGTGGCTGTCAGCAACTTTGATGTGGAGGCTGAAGTATGAGAAGGAGCGCTATCCTGCTGAAGAACTTGCCCTCTTCTGTGGTTTGTAATGTAATAGGCAGCACACATGTCTTGATACCTCAGGCTGTTGATGTTGCCATTCACTCTGCAGATCTGTAGCACACCCCATACCGAATGTAACTCCAAACCATGATTTTTCCTTCACCAAACTTGACTTATTTCTGTAAGAATTGTGGGTTTGTGCAGGTTCAAATAGGTCTTCTGCAGTATTTGTGATGATTGGAATGCAGTTCAACAGATGATTGATCAGAAAAATACCTTTTGCTACTTTTCCAAAGGATCAACTTGAAGTCGTTATTATTTGTTGCTCTTACAACTGGGCGTTATACTTGGCGTTTATTTTGTTTTGTTGTTTTAATTGTTCATTCTAGTTTTAAGGTTATTCACGTTCCACAACATAATTAGTTAATTCCAATAAATATGTTTTTTTTTATACCTGAGAGAAGAATATTGTCACCTCTATCCAGTTTTTAAACACTTCATTAATTGCTTACAGTTTAACTGAAGTTACGAGATGAGATGGGTATTACACTTAATGATCGTAGAGTTTCTATTTCTCAAAATATCTAATTACAAAATCTATTTTTAAAATTAGTGTGCATAGAGTCAACGATGAACCAAAAGCGGAATGTGGAAATTAAGAAATATTCATCTAAAACAGCATAAAAAAAATACAGTGGAAGGCAGCTGAGTGGCTTTTGTTATAAAACACAAAAGAGGCGACATGTACTCATGACACACCTTGCTTAGCAAATCATTGGCATTAATATTCAACCCACCCTACAGCTGTACAAAATACTACATGTGCATATTCACACTACTCATATTAATATGCATATTCAAGTGGGAAAAAATGGTTTGAGAACAGTAATATTACAAGAAAGATATTTATTTACTACAGGAAAAAGAGAGAGAGAAAAAAGAATCACAGTTTAAGAAAACTACTTCAGAAAAATATATTGCTCAAAAAACTAAAACAAGTTTAAAGCACTCAAGATTTCCTCTCAACAAAAAAAACACGGCTTTAACTCTAAAAGCCAAGAGGAAATCTGGAAGAATTCACATAAAAGGTGATTCATAGTGTTCTCATATAATGTGTCTATAGTGTCTTCCCATATTTTCAGCTGATACAAAATTGCAAGTGAGACAAACAATATGGAGGAAAGTGAACACGCTCCCGAAATGGCTTTTTTCACATCCAAGTGCGCCCTCACGCGGTCACCCACATTAATGCTCTAAAACAAAGTGTGTGAGCGCTTCTTTCACAGCTTAAACAAATTATGAATAATATAACATACACGGGTCGTTTAATAAATCGTTGGTATACATTTTAGGCAAAAAGAAGGATACGCAAACGAAAATATGTCTACGGAATACTTCAGCAGGCCTACGAGCAGAATGCTAACGATGTCAAAACGCATTTTGCTTTTACATTACTTAAGTCAACAATAGTGACGATTTGTCACTCATTTTATACTAGTCGCAAGGTTATTGTATATTCTAGTATTGGTATGTAAAATAGGACATAAATGTAGCACGTCTCACATCGGCTCTTTCGGATACTACCAAACCATATAACAGTTTAAACAGCAAGCTACATGTAAACTTTATTTAAACCTGCACTTACCTTAGGTTTACATTTGCATATATTTATGTATGAATATGTCTAATTCTATTCACATTTTAAGAAAACACAAGTTTGTGTAAGGGTTTACTTAAAGGGATAATTCACCCCAAACCCTTCACTTGTTGTAAACCTGTTTGGGTTTCATTCCTCTGTTGAACACAGAGGGCATTTTTGGAAACAGATCCACTGCCATTCATTGTAGGAAAAACAAATACTATGGATGTCAATAGTTCCTGGTTTCCAGCTTTCTTCAAAAAAAATCTTTCGAGTTCAACAGAATAAAGAAACCCAAAAATGGTTTTCAAAGTATAACATTTGTAAGAACTTATCATAAAATCAAAAACAATAATAATGATTAATCCACTGCACGTCTAATATAAGATTTACAATGTTATTTTGCTGCTCACATTGTCTTGAAACTCAACTTTTTTTTTTTTTAAAGCAGTTTAAGCTGCAGATCAGGTCAACTTCAATAATAACAAATCAAATGCAAACAGTGATTAAAAATCACAGTTATAATTTTGAGCAGTCAGCACGGTAAATTAAGGGGTTGTGCTTAAAACACACATTAAATACTGCCTGTTTTAAGTTTCTGCCTTTTAGTAATAAAACTAAAACCAAAACCAAAACCTAGATGCTGTAAACACCACCTGTTAAAACCTCCCAAATATGTTATGTAGAATACTTACTAGTACAGGCCGCAGTGTGCAAGCGCATCTAAATTACATAAGGGTATTTTTCTCTATAAAGACAATGGAGTGTGGTGGAGTGCCATGAAACTAGAAACTAGTACTCAAATGTTTTTACTGCGTCTTTTTGCTTTTGTGGGTGTGGACTGGACCACTTTGGTTTTCCTCCGCAACACTCTCCTGTCAACCACTGGAGGCTCTTCCTCTTCTTCTTCTGAACTGTGTTCAACAGCTTCATCTTCTTCTGTGCTCGCCTTCTCATCAGTGCTTGTGAGTTTTTCCTCCTCTTCTTCATCATCAAACTCATCACTGATTTCCTGTATGATCACAGCTTTTCTCAGTCTATTAGATGTTCGCTTGGGTGTTGGTGGAACAGGTTTGCAAATTCCTCCTCGAAGAACTCGAACCCCAATAGGAGAATCTTGAATTTTATCTGAGCTTTTTCCTTCCTCATCATCATCTTCTGTGGTGGCGGTTTCCTCCCCTTCTTTTTGTTCATGTTTGTCTTCACCTTCAGGCAGTTTTTCCTCCTCGTTTTCAGAGTCCTCCGTGCCAGGTTGACTTTCCTGAGTCTCAAGTGGCTCATCGGAGATGGTTTCATCTTCTTTGTTCACAGCTGGTTCATTGGTTTCTTCAATAGGAGATTCAGTGGATTCGTCCATTGAAGCTTCTTGTTCTGGAGCGACTGGTTCATCTGAAGCCTCATTGTCTTGCAAAGAGGAAACACACTCAACCAGGTTAGTTAAAAGGACTGGAACCTCAGGTGGATGATCAGAGTCCTCAGTTTCATCAACTGCAGAAGCTGCTTCCTCTTCAACTGCAGAAGCTGCTTCCTCTTCAACTGCAGAAGCTGCTTCCTCTTCCACTGCAGAAGCTGCTTCCTCTTCAACTGCAGAAGCTGCTTCCTCTTCCACTGCAGAAACTGCTTCATCTTCAACTGCAGAAGCTACTTTATCTTCAACTGCAGAAACTGCTACATCTTCAACTGCAGAAGTTGCCTCCTCTTCAGCTACAGAAGCTGCTTCATCTTCCACTAAAGAAGCTGCTTCCTTTTCAGCTATAGAAACTGCTTCCTCTTCCCGTTTCTGCTCAAGTTCCCCTTCATCTTCAACTAGAGGAGAGACTTCTGCCTCTGCTTCTTGTCTTTCTTCTGTAACACGTTCTTGGTCCATCTGCTCCACTGCTTCCACAGACTCATCGGGAGTGTTAATAATGTCATCCTTCACAGAACAAACAACATAATGATAAATCTGTTCGGTTTTAGAGGAATTGTAGTATAGTGACATTTAAAACACATTTTATTCATTATTTATTTGTTTCTTTTTTTTAATTCTCCTGTTAAGGAACAATTCCTTAAAATACAATAACACTTTGTGATCAGGATGCATTAACTAATATTAGTAAATGTAATTACAAAGATGATCTGAATAAACTGAAAATAATCAACAATACTTGAACAGCATTTACTAATGGTAGTTAATGCTAATTTCAACTTGTGCTTCATAGCAATAATCAAAGCACTATGAGTTAAATCATACAGGATAATGTATTCTTTATTCTGTGGTAACAACTGGCTGTACATGATCTTGCTTATTACATGCTATATTCAACAAACCTAAACAATTAGAAACAAAATATTAAATGGGAGTTGCAATAATTTACTAGCTCTTTAATTCAATGTAAAGCTCGCCAAAAAATGTCTTAAATGGTTTGATGCGGCAAACACTATCTTATTTGTATTTGTGTTTTCACCATTACCAGTTTCAAGGTAAACCACAGTAAATGTTCTGATAGTTAGTGTCAGGGTTTCCAATTTTTAGTGAACTTTTACAAACTAATTGTGAGAGGAGCATGTGATATGATTGTTCGTGGCTGGCCTCTCATCTGTATTCTGCAACAATCCCACCACATTAGTTCAAGCTTGCAATAAATAGGCCCATTTCACCCTACTGCCTGATCTTTGTTTTGGAAGAATCCCTCCTTTCACCCCATCTTCTCCTTTTTCTCCCTTTACCAGGAGGAGCTCTTAAGACCTACCTGACAGTCATTTACAGACAACTATACTGGAAGACTATACTGGGGAAAAAATGGCATTGCAATATTTTGCTTCTCTGCTCTATGTATTGCGATATGAATATTTTCACAAAATGACTGTGTTTGAAAAGAATTCAGAATTTTACATTAATTGGTTTGATTTATTGAGAGGGCATCTGCATAAAATGTACAAAATTTAAAAAAGATAAATGCATAATAATATGAATTAAATGGCCTGCACGGTGGCGCAGTGGGTAGCAGGATCGCCTCACAGCAAGAAGGTTGCTAATTTGAGTCTCGGCTGGGTCAGTTGCAATTTCTGTGTGGAGTTTGCATGTTCTCTTCGTGTTCGCTTGAGTTTCCTCCGGGTGCTCTGGTTTTCCTCACAAGTCCAAAGACATGCACTATATGTACACTGGGTAGGCTAAATTGTCCATAGTGTAAGTGTGTGAATGAGTGTGTATGGATTTTTCACAGTGATGGGTTGCAACTGGAATTAGCAGCTGGATAAGTTGGTGGTTCATTACGCTGTTGCGACTGCAGATTAATACAGGGACTAAGCCAAAAAGAATATAAATGAATATAAAATAAAGCACAGATAAAAACTAAATAAGCATCGCTTCATGGTTTTCGGTGGAGTCTAACAATATCTACTTACAGAAATTAAATAATCAAATAAAAAAGAAAATGATATAGTCTTCATTGTATAGATAATTAAACAATTCATCTTTGCTAAACTTATTCATTTCTTGTGTCCAAATGGTTTAAATCAACTTGAAATTGCTTGACATCTTGTGATGTGAATATTGCAGATTACCACAATGTGATATTGATGCTGAAATTGTATATTGTGCAGCCCTAAAGCATATATCTCTGAAGAACTATTGGGACACTATAAACTGGAGTAATCGCTATACACTGGAGACATCTCAAGAATAAACTGCCAATTGAAGTACATTAAAAGAGAACATTTTACTTTTAAATAGTAATAATATTTAACCTTTTTACTGTATTTTGGTCAAATGAATACAGCCTTTTTGAGTGTAAAAACACTGACTCATAAATAGTAATGTGTGCCGCTTAAATCATGCAGCAGCACAGCACTGACCTTAAAATCGAACTAAATTATTTACCTGTGCATCTCTATCTGCCTCCATCTCTTCATCAGCACCATTTTGGATGGCAGCTTCTGCCTCTAGTGGGAGCTCTTGGTTGACTGGTTCATCTTCTGCGTTTGCTGACCTCTCGTTTTCATCTTCGTGACTCTCACTCATTTCTCCATTGACTTCTGCCACCTTTACAGACAGACAGAGAACTTGATTATCTATAATCTGGCTGTGTGGAATATTTGTATGTGTGAATTGGCATAAAATTTGCACCTCTGGCACATGAACAAACATGCAGTTTTATGAACTGCAGCATAATTTGCATTGGCAACTGTTGTAATCCAGCTTGTTTGTCCACATTCTCAAATGATGAAAAAATAGTGCCAGATGCCTCGTCACTTACCAGAATTTCAGTTTCTGCAACAGAGGCCACTGAGGTCACAACAAACTCCTCCTGGAGTGAGTTTTTTTCAACTTCTTGGCCTTGTTCTCCACTTTCTCCATCTGTGTGTTCTTTGGTCTCAGGTACTGCATCAGGATCAGTCTCTGCTTCTGGTTCGACCAATCTAAAGCCATGAAAAGGCAGATAATAAGGTAATACAGTCAGGTTGCATTTCTGCCCACTGAAGCTGATACTTCTGAACGTTCCACATCTGCACATTCATGCATTTTGCACACTCCCTAGACACCTATGGACATTTATTCAAATTCACACATACCCTGATCATATATTGTGTAAGTTTGAGTGTGCTCCATGCAGGTGAGTGGGCTAGACAAACCACCTGTACGATACGCTTTCCTCTCTATGCACCGGCCACTTTATTAGAAACACTTCTATGTTTTCTACTACATAGTTATATTCTTCATATCTAAAGTTTTAATTTTTTATATTGGTTCTTATTTTGTCTACTTATAACTACTTTGTCTATATCTAAATTTTTCTGTGTTTTTACTAATTTTTATACTTCATAATTTAGATTCTTATTGATATTATTTTTAAAAAAAAATTAAGGTCACGGGCAGTTGTATAAGCATTTTACTGCATATTGTACCGTGTATTTGTGAAAAAATAAAATTTGAATCTCAAAAACAAATCATCCTACCACAAACTTATGAAGAAGTTTTTAACAGCAATAATATAAGCCAAGTCTAAATTAAAATAATAGAAAGATGCCATCACAGGGATGAATAACATTTTAAAATATATCAAAATATAAGCCAACATTGTATTTATAAAAATAGTAAATATTACACAGTTTTACAATTATTACCATACTGTTGCTCCAATAAATGTATTCATAGTGATAAAAAAACTAAAACAAAACATTACAGACCCCAAACTTTTGAATGGAAGTGTATTATGATCTAACACTAAAAATGTATTGCTCTTTGTTTAATGTTTTAATCTGCCTTAACGTTTCAAAATATAGCATTAGTTAGTGTATTATGAACAAATTTCTAATTTATAACATTATATTTGAAACTAGCAATGACATATAATAAATGCTGTAAAACGGTTCATTCCTAATTAACTTCACTAACTTTACTACAAAGTTTTTCTAGGTAGTTTCAAAGGTGTTCTGGGGTCCATTCTTTATACGTGTATTACTCGATTAGCTGGATTTGGTTATTGATGATTTGACACGATCCAGGATCATTTCATTCTTCAAAACTCATCCAAGAGTTGTCATAGCAACAGGTCTGGTAGCGCAAATCTGCTCAGGAGCAGGCATATTTCATATAAACAGGATTAGATTGGGTCATTTCAAGCAAAGGTAATACTGAAAGTATGCTCTGAAAGCTGATTTTTTTTTACAGTAGTAGTTATATACACTTGGGAAAATAGTAAATAGTTAAAAAAAATTAAAAATAATATACATATATATACAGGGCTTGACATTAACTTTTTTGATCACCACCCACTGTGGCTAGTAGATTTCCAACATTACTAGGCACTTGCCATTTTCACTAGCCATAATTTTTTTCTTGGAAAATATATTGTATAAATATATTTGTATTATTAAATGTGACTTTGACATGCTAAAATGACTTGATTTAGATGGTGTTGTCCACATGCCTCCTCATTTATTTAATTTATTTCTGTTTGCGTGTGTTGTGTGTGAGCTTGCTCGCTGTGTATGAGCAAATGGGTTGTGTCGCATTGCATTTGCTTTTTATTTCACATGACTTTTTTAGGGCTCAAAATTAAGTATTTACCAAATTTATCTCTGACTACACTGAAAATAAATAAATATTTTTTAGCCACATCTTTTAAATTTGTCAACTTTTTCCATTCTAATTTTTTCAGTGTACATTAGTGTGGGTCACTCCTTCAGTTTATTAAATGATTTTATATCCCATTTTATTCTTTTAGTACTTATTAATCAACAATTTAGTATTAGACAGGGTGTAATGTTATTTTAAAAGCCCATCTTTTACTTTATTATGCACTTTTCTGAGTGGTACATCAGTAAACCCTATAGTTACTGTGATTTCAGATTTCCTCTAAAAGCTATCAGTAAATGAGGTGTTTTATGTGAGGGCTTTTAGAGACCTGTTGATTTTTTCAGGTCGGTTCTCCCCAGCAATCTCTTCTGGTTCTTCACGTGGCCTTTTCTTGTGTTTGTGTTCACTGCTTCGCGTGCGTGTGGAAATGGGAAGGTCATTGATTTCTACAGCAAGAAAAAAAAAGAAAAGTTTTACACCCACTTAATTCACCTCTCTGAATAAGCAAGAAAAAATGCACAAAAATCCAAACCTTCTGCTACTTTTCGATGTTTGACAACCACCACTTCTTCCTGTAAAACAATTGATGAAAAAACACTAAAGCATTTCACTCTAACCAGTTAAAAGGTTAACAGCTTCTATTAAAATACATACAAAATATTATTTTACATTAAGTGCAACAATGAGGGCATTTTCTAAATATGCTGGTCTGTGGATTGCCTGAATGTATAGCTTTATCCACCAGAAATCATTCAAGCGTTCTCAACAAATAAATGTTATATTAAATAGTTATTAAAAAATTAACTGAAAAAAATTTTTGCATTATTGCAGGAATAAATTGAAGTTTGGTCTCGAAGTTAAAGGGATCGTTCACCCCAAAATTCAAATTCAGCCATCATTTCCAATCCTGATTGAGTTTCTCTTATTTTATTAAATAGAACAGAAGATGTTTTGAACAATTCTGAAATCCTGTAACAACTGACTTCTATAGTTTTTTTGTTTTTTTTTACTATGGAAGTCAGAGGTTAAAGTTTATTTTTAGCATTATTCAAAGCATCTTCTTTTGTGTTTAACAGAAGAAATTAATTCATAAAGGTTTGGAACCACGTGAAGATGAGTTAATAGTAAGTAAATTTACAATTTTGGGTCAGCTATTCTTTTAATCTCCATACTGCTGAAGTATTGCAGCTAAAATATTTCAATTTGTAGAGAGGATCTTCAGAGTTACCGTGATGTCCAGGCTCTCCTCGGTCATCTCCACCTCATTAACCTCTCCGTTTTTGCTTTCCTCTGCTGCCCATGAGCTGTGGTTGCCTGTATGAACATTAACAAAACATCTAATATCTAACCTATAAATATACTAAAAGCAGTCAACTTGTAATGAGATATAGAGGTAAATGCTGCCATTTTGAGAAGTAAATCTATAGTAACTGTGACTAATAGCATTTAAGGAGTTAAAACACTTACATTGCAGTATCATGGAGCCAAGTTTGGTTGCTATTTTGACTTTCTGGTAGGGGCCTCCAACTCCTTCCACCTCCCAGAGCAGGTCCACATCAGCTGGGTATCTCCTCAAGTACTGACTGCACACTGGAGCACAGATATTACTTACTCTTTATGCTTTCTTCATACATATTTTTACTTTGTAAGATAATTTTATATAAAAGTAAATCATAATAATGCATATGTACAGCGTATATACAGTTGAAGTCAAAATTATTTGCCCTCAATATTAGCATATACTGTAAATAGATTTAATTACAAGAGTAGAGTTCAATTAGTAAAAATGGCTTTGAAAAGTCTCACAAGGGCTGCATTTATTGAATAAAAATATATCCAAAGCACTAATATTGTAAAATATTATTGTAATCTCAAAAACCTTTTTTCCTTTTCAAAAATTAGTGTGTTTCAAAGCTGAAGTACTTCGGTAACTCTAGCAAACTGGCATTTAAATCTACGAATAAGTGAAGCAGATTTCTTACCCCTTTGCATTGCCGTTGTTAAAGGGTATTTCAAGCCCAGCTCATCATCTTTAAAAGAGTCCACAAAGTCCTCCAGCATCTGCAAGCCATGACCGTTGCTGCGTTGACTTTTCCGCACAAATATAGAGTCCATGACTGGAAGTAAGTAGCACTGGCTCACAAAACTATTACACAAGCTACCTGTAGAAGAACAAAAAAAATTGATTATTAAATATAATAATGAATTATAGTTGTAACCTGTGGCCCACAAAAAAACATGCTTTGGGAAATTATGATGACATACTATAGATCAAAACTATGACGTGCTTTTGTATGAAGTGTGAATTATGATACAAAATGAAACCTTTGGATTAAAAAAAAAAACAAAATAAGATATTTATAATTAAGACAAGTTAAAATCGAGATACTTAAGATGAAAAAGACAATAAAAAGTAACACAAAAAGTTAGATTTTGTAAATCGATATTATTTAAATATCTAACTGATAATTGTATATACAGTTAAAGTCAGATATATAAGCCCCCTTTGATTTATGATTTTTTTTTTTTTACCTTTTTTAAAATATTTCCCAATTGTTGTTTAACAGAGCAAGGAAATTTTCACAGTTTGTCTGATAATATTTTTCTTCTGGAGAAAGTCGTATTTGTTTTATTTCGGCTAGAAAAATTTTTTTTTAAAAACATTTTAAGGTCAAAATTATTAGCCCCTTTAAGCTATTTTTTTCTATAGTTTACAGAACAAACCATCATTATACAGTAACTTGCCTAATTACCCTAACCTGCCTAGTTAAACTAATTACCCTAGTTAAGCCTTTAAATGTCACTTTAAGCTGTATAGACGTGTCTTGAAAAATATCTAGTCAAATATTATGTACTGTCATCATGGCAAAGATAAAACAAATCATTTATTAGAAATGAGTTATTAAAAATATTATGTTTAGAAACAAAAAAAAACTTCTCTCCATTAAACAGAAAATGGGGGAAAAACTGGTGGGGGGGTGGGCTAATAATTCTTACGTGAACTGTATATATAAAATTATAATATGTACAAAAGTTTCAAATTGTATGAGAATATAAAAAGTGAAAGTGGAGATACTGATAAAAACTTCAAATTATGACATTCTGAACAACAAGAAGATGAAATATTAAAATGTTGAGATACTTCAGACACAATTTTTATTTAATCAGAAGTTTTTTTGTTTTAACTGACCTCTTATTTTATGATTTTGAATATGAGACACGGTCTCATCTTAATTGTAAAAGTGAACATAAGCTGCCATTCATTATTGATAGAATATTTTCCTAACTCTATTAAATATTTTATTGATACTACTATTACTACTACTATAATACTTATAATAACAATAATAGTAATAATAATAATAATAATAATAAACATTTTCATTATAATATATATATATATATATATATATATATATATATATATATATATATATATAGTGGTTTTGAATTTACAGCCTTTTTGTACTAGAACTTCTGTATCGCTGGCATTTTTCATGATGCATCAATGGCATATATGCACACTGACTTTTAATTTCAGTCAGCCAGCCCCAGGGCCACCAGTTAATTGCCACCCCATACAAAATCTCTGTGTTTAAGATCTGATTTCCGTAAAAAACAGCGATCTTCACTGCCTGGCTAAGATGTGATATAAAGTGGGTATCAGACCAAACAATAAGCACTGCATTATATTATATTTTTCCATGCCATGTCTTTAAAATATGGAAATTAGTTTTACCCCAGTATTTTCAATGGAATTTCAGTGTTAGCCTGCTGCTAATGGTGGCGCCTGCATTTAAATGGTCTTTCGTCTCTTTTTGCACTTTAACAACCAAATGAATGCTTAAGTCTGTTCATCTGACTATATTTGAATTACATTACAACATCGATGCTGTAAAAAGAACCTTGTGAAATTAAAAATTGTCACAAAGCTTTCACTGGAAGTTCATCATTGGCTGAAAAACACTAGATGTGCATATAGCCCATTGCAACCCTGCAATCTCTCATCTGCAAGTCACTTTGGATAAAAGAGTCTGCTAATGAATGTGTAATCGTACTAACCAAGATCTGTATTTCTAGGCCACATCTTACAAGCAAGACAAGGCCTAGCTTCATATCTCGCTCATCCTTTAATGAAGACACTGTAGATTGCTTTATAAATATCTCACACAGAAGGCAGAATGAGCAATACCAGACTCTGCTGGGAGAAGGACTGACCTTTACATTTGACCGAGTAGAAGCCCACTGCCTCTCCATTCTTCCAGAGGATTTTGGCAAAGACGTCTTCTTCATGGCAGAGGAAAGGCACCTCATTAGTGCCCATTTCCATCGTCCGGTAAATAATGCGGTTCAGTACATATAAGACTATCCTCTCGCCAACAGATCGTACCTGCCGAAATATAATCATGAAGAAAAACTTGTGTTTTAGAAACATTAATTTGATAGTGATTTCCCAGGGTTTCAAGTCACTATGTAAGAGAAGTAACAACAGATCATTTCATGTGGATTGTGAAAAGGAAAACAAGTGCTAATATCAATCATTTGTAGATTAGATAAAAGAATGGGTCTTAAATTCACCCAAACATGAACATTTCTTTTATCCATCTGATATGAAAGGCACTCAAGATAAATAGATGGAACTGTGCACTGTGGTGATCCATAAAATGCAACGTTACCCACATAGCAAAATTTCTCTGGCCCAGCTCTGGCCCACACAATCAGGTTTTGCTTGGCCCACATGCCGCAGTGAATTATGGTACATGACTGGACCAAATCTGGCTTCCAGACAAGGGCCAAACACAGACCATATCTGGGCCAAGTCTCAGCCAAGTTAATAACTCATAACTGGGCCTGAACTGGGCCAGATAGGTTGGTGTGTCACGATTGCAATGAAATTGATAAACCCATGGAGTGATGCGCTTTAGTCACACTCTGGGCATGCTTTTTCTCAAAGTGACCTGATAGGTAGAATTTTTTTTCTTTATTCAAAAATGATTTTAGTGTACTTTAAATGTGGGTCAAGACTGGCCAAACTCACATGGCCCACTTATCAAATTTTTAAATCTGGGCCAAATACTACATTTTTCATCTGGCCCAAATCTTGTGTGCCGCCTTAAAGATGGTGCCACCTCTGCCAAACCCGGGCCATGTTTGGCCCACATGCTGTATGCCAGTGCCGGATGAATGCCTGCTGTGCCAGCTTTATGCCAAAACTGGGCCAGAATTCTTTGCTACTAGGGTATGGCTGCAGGTACTTTGGGAATCATAAAAACATACAAAGCTAATACCAGTGGCTTCTGATGATAAGAAGCAACCTTATAAACGCACATGTCCCTATCCATCAAGAAAGTTATGATCCCATAATATGTTTGCAGATATTTAAGAAACATGCTAAGTGAACATACTTGTTTATCTGAAATACTGTGCTAAAGTCAGTTATTCTCCTTTGAAAATCTGTGATCTGAGTCTGTCATTGTTTTGGCCTCATAACCCACCCATTGCCAGATTACTCAATTGTATTTCAGCAATCTGGATTGCCTTGGTGGTGTAGGGTCCAGCCAGTTGGTCCAATGACGGTATCCAATGGTGGATGAAGGTTCACTGCATGTTCGGTCTTTCCAGTGCACAATGTTGATTTATATTAAACTTAACTCATATCTGACTCCAATTTTAGTATGAGATGGTTTAGAATATTAATATGTTTATCCTCGTTTTATCTGACTCCAATTATAAAACATTGAGAAGGTTATTTTGTTTCCGTTCACATTAATTTGGATTATGATTGAATATTCTCTTCGGTTCATCATTTTATGTTATTCTCGTTCATTGGGATCTCTATAACATCCTGAATCTTGTACCGGCCGAGTATACAATTTCTGAAGCACAAGCATGTCAGTCTTGGTCACTAAACAGTGGCGATTGACCGCTATCCTAAAAAGGCAGAACCCTACTTACTCAGATTAGGATATTTTTTATGCGGTCCCCATAGGTCTGCTACCTCCTAAATCAGACAGAGCTATTTAGTCATATAACGATCATTACTATAGAATTAAGCAGACCAGTCGTACTTAAACTAGTAGTAACTTTGAATAATCACTATACTATCTAAATAGTATTAAAAGTTTATCGGGTGAAGGACTATCCCCTTAGATATCCTTTTACAGCCTAAGTATACATGAATAAATGGCAATTTGTTAGTCGGAGCTCTAGAGACATTGTGTAGCGTGCCGCAATGCTCCGTCTACCGTGTTCTAGTCCGCTACTAACCTGAACAGGGGCTTGTGGTGCTATGAAATTACCACAATCTACTAAAGATAATAACACGAACTCTGTTTGAATCATTCAAAACATAACAATTTATTAGTCAGGTAAATGTATTATGCCAATTCAATCAGTCAATTCATAAATGATCAATACAAAACATCAAATTATCAAAGATAAATCCAAGATGAAAAAGATGCATTCCTGACTTTGAAATATACATAACATGGAAATTTTACATAACGTGGAGCCTAAGCTCCATGTTATGGGCTGATCTGGGTAGGCAGAATCGCGCTGAGTTTTTCTCAAACCTTGCCTTAAATAATCCAAGAATTCCCTCAAGGAAGGGGGTGTGTGTAAAAAGTCACACCCTTCACAGTGGTTCAAAAGATGCCTGAAGTTATATATTTATTGTGTTGATTATATCTATTTCTGAGAGAATGAGACCATTGTACCAATCGCACTGAGACATTTCAAATGGTATCAAACATGATAATTAAAGTCAGTTTGGTTAATCTAAAACATTCAAACATTGAAATGACCATATGTGTGAGTTGGGGGGATGAAGCTGAGTCTCAGCATAGTCAGATGCAAATGCAGCAGGAACTGGTTTTTCACGCATTCCCCCCTGGTGGGTTGTGGAGTCCATTGGCCCTGTCTTCAGCTCATGTTTTGAATTGTCAAAGATATCAGAATATTTGTAATATTTCAATTCTTACAGTGGACAAACCAAAAACATTGTCAAAACATTCCATGTGACTTTAGTGGCTCAACTGTAATCATGTAAAGCTCCAAGAACACCATTATGAACTAAAAAAAATACTTGTAAAAACGGCTTTGTTCACCTTTGTCTTCTCCTCCACAACAGGTCAGTGTGCATGTTTGCTATGGGCAGTAAGGCCCAATCCCTATTCAACCCCTTAGCCCTTCCTCTTATCTCTACCCCTCGTTTTGTGCATTCACGTAAAAGGGTAGGGGTGTGCCAATTCTCTAAGGCCTAATCCTAATTCTATCAAAATTTAGGAAATGCAAAAAAAAAAAAGTGTCATTACAAACAAACAAGGATATGTTTTTATACATATGTAACGTAATTCATGTTTTACCAACATGATTTAAAAAATGAAAATGCAAAAATAAAAAATGATCAATTTCGCTATCGATATTGCCTAATAATAACTCCTGTATAACAGTCCAACAACATTCTGTCACTCGATGACACTCGAACACCCTATAATGTATCTGTGTCTGCTATAATGTGTCTGCTATAATGTTAATGTTGTTTTTGGTTGGTGTTTACCAACCAAAAATAAACAGCAAAGTTACAATCTTATTGCCACATTATATCATTGACAGCATGATATATGCCTTTAGTGAAAAATAACACAACTGGAATAACTACAGCAGTTGCGATCGTCTGATCTCATATGAAGTAAGAGATTGCGAAGACATATAATGACGTATGCAGGTGCTGTAGTGCTGTCTCATTTTTTTGGGGGGTAAATTTTGAAGCCCTTTCCCTTCACACTCAGTTTCAAGGGCCAAGGGGAAGGGGTAGGCAAATGGAATTGGGATTGGGCCTTATTGACATTAAAGTCAGCAGTGCAAAACCCAAGAGTCGTACTACACATAGTAATTGTGCACCTTACTTTGACTTGGAAGACATGGGTGAACAAAGCCATTAAAATAAATCGTCATACAAAAATGGTCTTGGAGCTTTACTTGATTACAGTTGAACCATTAAAACCACATGGTGTGATTTGACAATGTTTTTGGTGCCATTTCTGGATTTTTGTCCATGGAGTGTCTAGGATTTCATGTAAAATATCTTAGTTTATGTTTTGAAAATGAAAAATAATCTCAGGAGATTGAAACGATTTGATGATAAATAATTAATAGCAAAATTTTAGGTGAACTAACCCTTTAAATGTGCTTTGGATCATAAGCCAAGGCTATGGAATAAAGATCATAATGTTATAAATAATGTTAAATTTCATGCACTTTCCAAAGTAAACAACTAAAATCTACTATAAGTGAACAAACAAATAGAAAGTACATAAAGCTGAAGAAATTAGATTATGAACGACTGGTAAAAACAAAAAAAGCAATACAAAATTTAAGGTTTGCAGAAATGAACTGAAAATAAGATCGATAACATGCATTGAGGGGAAAAAAAAATATTTGAATACGAGTCTGACTCCAAACAACAGGTGCAACAATCAAGTTGAAGCTCCTGCAGAGGAAATGGAAGTCTGTCTCACAGGATATTACAACACATGGAGTGTGTTACGCTACAGAGTACACAAGCAAGAGAAATTCCAAAGATCATTGTTCAGTGAGAGAAAAATAACCTACGTGTACATTTACATAAATATTTCAGAACATTATTCAGCCGAATCACAAAAGCAGGCCTGTATATGTAAATCACTGAGCCTGCGAAACAAAGACATCTCTCACAGATCAGCCACAAACTCATGTCTGTTTACAATTATTTGTTTGGCCAAACTGCTACATTTCACTCCTCAAACCCTCCCTGTTTTTTCCTCCTTTCTCACTTTATAATTGCACACTCCCACATACCAAAACACAATTTATATGTAAAAAGAAAATACAAATAAAACATGCACAAGATCATTGTAGGAGTGCTTGAGAACATTTCAAGTACTTAACAAGGCCTCGACAAATAATGCCAAATTCCTGCTTTTTATCGCCTAAGCAAAGAAGTGGCATTTTAAAACAGACACTGCTGTTGAAAGCGCACAAACACGAACATGAATAATTTCATTAACACCCAACCTTTCTAAAACAATTCAAAAGATTACCTTCACAAGGCCTTCTCTTGCAGGATTTGATGTTCTGAGTAAATCTTCTACTGTGTACCACTGATCGACCAAGAACAATGCCACAGCTAGGATTGAAAAAGAAAAAAGATATGAAGAATGGAGACACTTTGGATATTCAAAACAGACTATGCTATGAATCTATCCAAGATGTTATAGTCATTTGTAAAACAGCCTGGATAGTGGTGGTCTACCTGTGAACTGGTCCTCAGGAGCAAACAATGCCAGGACTTTGTGCTTAAGGTTGGCTCCATACAGAGGAACAAACCCAACATTGGCAGGACTGATCCGGATCTAAAATGGTCAAAGTAATGAGTTTATTAAAAGTAATAATTTAGTTTAAATACTAATGGACCTCTGTGGACAGAATGAAGTGTGTAATTGAGATTTGTTAAGGATGGTAATTTTAAAACAAACTATTTTCTAACACAGCAAAAAAAAGTTTTGTAAAGGCATAAATGTTTTAAAGGGCACCTATAATGAAAATCAACTTTTGTAAGCTGTTTGGACAGAACTGTATGTGTATATAGTGTGTCCACAGTCATATTGGATTAATATAAACACACCAAGTCTCATTTTTAAAAATTTTTAAACCCAAATCTTAGAAATTCTGAGGCCTACCGCAACGTGATGTAGGTTTAACAGATGTAGGCGGTTTTCCCCACCCACCGCATTGATTGACATGTTTCTATAATATGTATACATGTATAATAAAATAAAATGTATATATGTCCACACAACATTTTTTGCAAAAAAACAGGGATTAAAATATTTGTTACAACTTTGTGATTTTTATAAGTTTAAAACATTTTTTAAAACACAGCATGTTTGTAATAAAGACAGTAAAATCGTTAATTCTTAACCGCAATAAATCACCAGTAAACCTGTGTGTGCATTGTGTGTAACTCGTTTCAGAAAGGCTTGAATAAACTCCACCATAAATTTATTGATTTATTCATTTACTATGTATTTATTGCCACACCAGCAACTTATGGCTATTTCGTGGCAAAATGGATATACATAAAATATTACATGATAAAAACAAATTCGTATTATAATAAAAAAAAGTTTCTTAGACAAATATATAAAATATAAATAGATAAAAATCACACAAAAATATATTAAAAGTTATACTTGGTTTTTTTGACTAATGAACTGCATTTCAGCTTCATCCGAGTCTGTCTCTGTAACTGTGCTGTTTATCTGACGCAACGCATGATAAGAAGCAGACACGCACGTGGGAGCGGTGGGCGGTGAGAAGCAGTTCATTTGCATTTAAAGTCACAGCTACAATGTATTCAGACACCAAAATGGGCAGATTCTGGAGGCTATAATAAATTATCTAATGGGCATTCTGAGATGAAACTTTACAGACACGTTTTGCAGACACCAAAGGCTTATTTAAAAGGGGTAAATTGGGTGCCCTTTAAATATTCAAGCTCTTTAAAAGAAAGTTAAAAAAAAGATGACCATGTTCACACTTCTTTACTGAACTACACCAGCAAAGCAATCGCATTAGAGTTCATTTTAATCAAGCCTAACGTGTGAACGCATACTGGCTTTACGCATTTTAAAATGATCAGATATTCTCTGTGGTGCGTTACCTTTCTTGTGTTGGACAAGGTAAGGTATTCTGCGTTATCTGGGTTGCTGTAAAGAAGTTTGTTCATGTAGCTTTGGGCTGAACTTTCAAGGTCTTCATGTCGGCCAGACACCAGAACATCTACAGGGAACTCCATCCCTATACAGAGATCACAGATCACACAAACATCATCATTTGGTTTCTTATAATCGCTTACTTTATTTTTAATCAGAACTCGTCACTAACTACTTACTTTCAAAATGCTTTGCAAATAAACAACATTCCAAAAATAATAGCAAAAACATGAAATTCTTGCCATTTCATTCATTCATTCATTCATTCATAACACATGTCTTTGGACTTGTGGGGGAAACCAGAGCACCCGGAGGAAACCCACGTGAACACAGGGAGTTCTTGACATTTTTTTTAAGGAACTTACTAAAAAATAAAGCAACAGCAAATCTGACATTTTGTTATTTTTCCATGATCACACATCTTTTAATATTATCACCATACAAAAATAAAACATCCTCATGTGCTTTTATTTCACAGGAATTGTATTTAGAGTAATTTACAAAACATCTGTATATGATTTTAATATCTGTTTAGAAGAGAATAGTTATTTATAATTCCAAACTTTTTATAACACTTTTTATGTAAGAGGTTACCATATGCTGTTTATGTTACCATATTGTTTCAGCATTTACACCTTTAAGATAGATTTTTAGAAACAATTACATACAACACATTACACAGAAAATAACCACCCAGAGTGCAATTGTGTATACGCATAAACACACACACATATATACACTACACACACATACATGTATACATGTGTATACAAAGGGAGGGAGGGAGAGAGGGAGGGAGACAGAGGGAGGGAGGGAGACGGAGGGAGGGAGAGGGAGAGAGAGAAAGAGAGAGAGAGAGAGAGAAAAATCTTATTTGAATATATCACTGTTCTGAGAATATATAAAAAACATGTTCTGAGAATTATCTGTACCACGAAAGGAATGAATGGATTTTAAATAAGTTTTTTTGGCTCTTCAACTCATTGCTGGGTTACTTCTGGGTAATTAGAATGCCTTAAAGCATTTGATTACTTGCTACAAATTGTGCACAGTTTAAAAATGTTTCATCATGCAATGCTTTGTGCAGAACTTTCAAGGTCTTCAAAGTCCTCATTTGTGTCCATCCCCTGCAAACAGTTTTGTGTTTAATAGACATCTAATAGATATCCAAACGTAGACAGCTTGGCTAAAACAAGGCTAAACTTGGGCTGTCAGTAAAAATATAATAGACATCCAAGTATAGCCTAAAACAAGTCTAGTCGTCAAATAGACAGATTAGACAGACTTGATATGTGTAGCCATTCATTTCTGTTTATTTGATGACTAGTTTTGGCCTATTCTTGTAAGTGTGTATTAGATTTTTACCCACACCAAAATTTAGCCTTGTTTAAGCCAAGATGACTATGTTTAGACATCTATTAGACGTCTTTTAAAAGCTAACAATTATTGCTGTGTCAGTAATAACGATGCTATTCGGCCACTGGATTATGGCCACTTTATGTCTTATTTGCTCTATAGCCACTAATCAATCAGTAGAATTCAAAATCTTTACCGTTATATTGAATGAAAGGAGGTTTATGAAACAATAAATGATTGATTGGAATCATAAATCATAAATCAGTGGAATCATAAATCAGTGGAAGCCAGAGAAGTTGATGAAAAAATAAATGTTAAGTTACAATGAATAATCTATCTGTCAGAAATCCAGAAGCCAACACTGAGCAGCCACTGCAAACACATTGAAATTAATAATGTCATTAAATCAATTTAAATACAAAAAAATTATAATCAGATATATTTACATGCTTGAATGTGCATAGCTTAAGATATCAAGCTCAAGTAGGGCTGGCCGATATTTAAAAAATTAGGGCTGTGCGATTAATCGAAATTGAATCACAATTTATAATGTTGTGATTAGCTAATCGCAAGAGGCTGTGACATGACATGTATTTTTAAATTTCCATCGCCCAGACCAAATATGTGACGGCCATCTGTGTGTAAGTTTTACTAGCCAATTAAGTGAGTACGCTATCGCTCTGCCCAATTAGAATTGCGCAACCGAACTATGAGGAACGCCTACATTAAAAACAAAAAAAACAAACAGGAACGCGCTGACAAGTGGAACAATGGCATCTCCTGCTTCAGAAGCATTAATAGACAAATTGATATAAAAAAAAAAAGAAAAACGGGCATCGGTAATATGGGAATATTTTGGTTTTGAAGTCACAGACACCAAACAAAACCAGATCATTTTTAAGAGCTGGCGCAGAATTGTTGCCACGACTTACAGATTATTGAGCTGAAGCTTGACTACAAAATTAAGTCGCAAATCAAATTGCAATCACAATATTGGTAAAAAAAAATGAAATTAGATATTTTCCCCATCGCACAGCCCTAGCAAAAATGCAATCTCTGTAATTACTTACCATATTGTACGATAATGATATACATCTCGGTATTAGTTGTTAAAACTTCCAGATTTAGGAGAGTATCCCAACAATGAATCCGCAAAAATTTGAGGGTCTATTAAATCGCATGACATATTTTTTAGCCAATAAATTTTTGTGGCCGAAAATTTGGTACATCTATAATATTAACACTCTTTTAGATTTCCATTGTTGCACATTTCTGCTGTGTGATTGGCTTTTCGATCAACAGAGTAAAAAAGTCCTGAGCTTATCATTGTTATTGACATAAAGTTAACACTATATCTCTAATGAGATGCAAAATTTTGAAAAAAAAAATTGGATTTTACTACAAAAACTACAAATCTATTTCCTAAACTTTGATTTGAAAAAAATAATAAAATCCAACAAAAACAAGCATCACATTTAACCAAACAAAGCTGAGACAAAACCCTAATTCATAAAAAGGCATTCTCTGCTCAAACAGAGCAGACAGTATCCTGAACAGTTGGCTGCTGTCCATCCTCAGCTGGCCTCAATGAATCCCCCTGCTATCAACAACTATCTGTGTCATGCTGACAAACAGACCGAACAGTAGCCCGCATACACACATACACACCTCTTTGTGGGGACCTGTAATAGACTTCTGTTTTTTTTTTACTTAAAATTTTTTTACATCCACTAAACCTGAGAAGGCCATGATTCACACTCATTAAATAACTACTTTATATAGTTTTATTTTACATTTGCAGGAAATACAAAACACAATGCCATCCTGCATGACACAATCTTCTCACGCCACCCTATTATTTCAGTAATTACATAATTTGTTAGATGACTATTCAACATACAAATATTCTGAGAATATAAAAATATAAAAATATTCTCATTTTCGTTTCAATACAGTTAACAACATAATAATTTTTATTATTTCCTCAACCTGCAAAAGCATAATCTCCATTGTACAGGAAAATAACATGTGAATGATGATAATTCAAATCTTCGTCAACTGATACAATGAAATTCCAACAATCCATTAAAACTTTAAAAATACCTGTTCCTATCATTATTTGTTTCATTATACACTTAAACTCCATGATTCACAATTGTGTTGATAAATGACAAACCATTTAAGAAACACCAAAAGAGCCACTGAACCTGAAGCTATTTGAGTTCTGATTCTGCCACAAGGATTAATAAACAGTACTAAAGCAAGTCTAGGTAGAAAACCAGAGATAAACATCCAAAGATAAACCTGCAGAACTAAACAAAAATGTATCAAAAACAACTAAAACTGTTAAACTTTAACTGGTGTGATCTATAAAATTAAATACTTTTGTGCGACAGACATTAAAACTGCAATGTTCTTCCTTTGTTGCAGTATGGCATTCAAGGACACAACACACATATAAAAAAGTCAATATTACATCCATCCATGCGAGCACACCCACACAGTCATACACAACAGCCTTGAGCAACATAAACCCAACCAGCCACCAAACCCTCCAATCACATCCGGCATTGTTCCAGTGGAATGCAGGAACTCTTTACATGTGCCAGAGGGGCGCACCGCTGGGCGCTGGCACCAACTTACTAGCATCATAATCATAGTAAGACAAAATTCACAAAAAACATTTGTGATAGCTTTGACACCAAAGTTTTAGAGCATACTGTATCATTTTGCTAGCATGTTTTAGCATGTTGCTAGCATATTTAAGAACCCTTTAAATAAACAAACATCAGGAGGCTGTTATTATGTTTTGGCACATTAATAGTGGCTGCATCTGAAAGCTTAAGCAGCTGACTTGTTGCCATGCTGCCCCATCAGGCAGTGTTAGTGAACAAAGACTTCTGAAAAAAACATGATGATTTAATCATGTACCACTAAATAGAAAACTTTTGTTATAACCAAAAGAAGTATTTCCTTACTACAATACTAACTTCTCAAAAGCCTATATTTACACACAGATGAGCTGCTTTGGGATGCCGTGTTCATTTCTACAGCCTAACTGTCAGAAATGGATTGCACAATTGTGGGATATTAGATGAAAATATCTCCTAAAACAGAAAGTGAAGGAGAATTTGTATTCAGAGTACTTTAATGCCTTCCCCTCTTTAAATGCTAACTCAGAAGGAAGCGTTTTGGAGCTTTCAGACCCAGTTGGCATGCTACTAACATGGTTTTAGCATGCTAATACCACATTTTGCAAGCCTATTTTATTAAGTTGCTATGGTTTAGAACATTGCTACCATCTTTTAACACATTGCTACTAGAAAACTTTAGCATACTATCTAGAATGTAGTAGCAATTTACTAACAAAAACATATTTACGTTGTAGGCTAGTTTTTAGGTACTTTTAAATATGTATCAGTCAATAGAAGCAATGATCAATATTGTCTTTTTCTTTAAATATGTATGTATATATAATGTATAGCTAAACAAGCAAACATTACCCTGAAAAGGTTGGCTTAGGCTTGTTCTTCACTTTCTGATCAGAATTCACAAAAATATTAAGATAAACAAACCAGTTCTAGAGCATATAGTATCATCTAGCATATTTTAGCATGCTGCTAGCATATTTAAGAACACTTTTAATATGTAAACAAACATCAGAAGGCTGTTAGCATGTTTTGGCACATTAATAGTGGCTGCATCCAAAAGCTTAAGCAGCTTTGACTC